CCCCTGTATGAGTCTTTATATGCTTCATTTTCTCCCCTCTCTTAAGGCTATCAGATGAGCCCTTCATACCTGGAAAATTAACTGGAGAAATTTTCTTATATTATTATTATAATTGTTTTGTTAATGCTTTCTTCTATCTTTGCTCTTTCTTTCTGGTAGTATTCATGTATGCATAATAGACTCTTAGAATTAATTGTCCTTCTGTCTTTTTTCCTTATTAAATCTGCTTACCATCTTTTCCTAAGTAGAGAGAATGCCCAGGCTCCCGTTGAATTAACTAGTATTGGATGCAATACTTTCTGTTCTTCTGTTCACTATATCTGCATGTTTTTGGACACATAGTTTTCATTTACAAGTTTTTCTTTGTTCTTGAATTTTTTGTTTTTCATGAGAGTCTGTTATGTTTTAGTAATGTAGCAGCCTCTTGAATCTCACTGACAGTAGGAATTAATTTTTTAGAAATGATGTCTTCACTGTTCTCTGTATTATATTTTGTTTTAGTGTTGGGCATTTGGTATAGTGGATCTTCTTTTGAGTTCCCAGATATTTTTCATTATTTGGTAACTTTTTGTTGATTAATCACATTTTTTTAAGCATTTATTTTAGGGTAGTATATTTAGTTTGCTAGGACTACCATAACAAAGTTCCATAGGCTGGGTGGCTTAAACAACAGAAATCTATTTTCTCATAGTTCAGGAGAATTGAAGTCCAAGATCAAGGCGTTACAATGTTTGGTTTCTCCTGGGGCGGCTGCCTTTCAGCTGTGTCTCTCACGTAGATTTTCTCTTTGTGTGCTCATCCATTCTGTGTCTTTGTATTTCCAAAGTTCTTCTTCTTTTAAGGATATCCATCAGATTGAATTAGGGCCCAACTGAACTTTTAACTTAAAAACATCTTTCAAGTGCCAGTCTTTAAATGCTGTCATGTTCTGAGTACTAGGGGTTAAGGCTTCAACATGGGATTTGAGGGGGGCACACTTAAGCCCTTATCAATTAGGATGATCGTATGGGTCTTTTCGTCTCTTCTTTGTTGGGTGACAGTAGATCATGGCACAGTGGCATATGGGGGTACAAGTCATTGAACCTTCTTTAATTTTAGATATTTGTTTAATTTCTCTCCTTTGTAGTCATTGGAAGTATTTCAGTCAAAATTAGAAGAAGCTGAAAAAACTGCATCCACAAAAGAAGATTATAAACGAGAACGGTGGAGGAAACCAGCATACTCAGATAAAGCACAAAGTAGTCAAGAAAGTAGAAAATCAGACTTGGTAAAATATAATAAAAATTTAAGGGATAGATATAGTTCAACAGATACTACAAACACCATCAATAAAGATCAGTCTAGTGGTGATGAAAAAGATAATAGGTTTGGGTCTTTAGAAACCTGTAGAAGACAATCCAATCCAAGGCAAAATCAAGACTTTTCTTCTCTTGGAAATTTGAAACCTAAATTTTTAAGACCCTCTGATGATGAAGAACTGTCATTTCGTAGCAAGGGCAGAAATTTTGAGCCTTCTAGTTCATCTTCAGCATTGGTTGCTCAGGATTCTGTGCGTTATGGTTTTCGAAAACCCACAGAAAACAGTGAAGAAAGTTCTTCATCGTGGAGCCGATCCAGCGGAAGAGAAGGAGACAGGAAGTGTTCATATCGAAGATCATTAGAAACTAGGGGCGATGTGGACTCTGGGCACATTTCAGAAGACGTGAGAGAAAAATCACAAGATGAAAGCCTGAGAGATGACTCTCTGAAGAAAGAGCATCCACAGGACACAAAGTCTCCATTTGCTGGGTATTTTGTCATTTGTTTTTTAAACTGATGAATGAATATTAAATTGCAGAGGATTCAAAGAAGTGAGCTGTATTTGCAGAGTATCATTTATTAAGTAGATATGAGTTATGTTCTTCTGTTTCTTAAGTTTTGCGGAAGAGATAAGATACGCACATTTAACAAATCAGTAGCTTTGTTTTATGGGTTGCATTGCATTTCACAGTTTTATTTAACAAATGGAAGAAGAATTCAGTAGCTATATTATCTTAAAATTTGTTGCTTTTTTGCAATCTAAAAAATGAATTGAGTTCATAATCCCTTTAAATGAATATGCTACAGGAAGTATTTTGGTAGACTGTGTTACTGCTGCCATATTGCTTTCAAAGGAAATCGCTCCACTGTTAGGTGTAATCATAACTGTAAATTGCCGAGTGGAGGTCTGGGAGATTGAAGGAAAATATGCTGCCATAGCCCACATATGAAGTGAGAACGATATATGAAAGATCCTGCAGAGGGAAGCATGAATTACTGTTACTCTTTTTCAGAGAAAGGAATAATCCCCTTTTGACAGTTGACAGGTTTTAAAGATGTTATTATTTTAAAAGGAAAATATGGATAGGGTAGTGGTTGCACCTGTAATAATTAGGAAAATAGGTAGCATTGACTGGTGTTATCTTGAACCTGTGGTACTTGTATACAGGGCTGGGTCAGTAGAACAGGAAACCCAGGTTGAGTGGGATCAAACTAGGAAAAATTGATATAGCTGTAGAGCTGGTCTTCATTGGAGATAGCCAGAAATGGAAAATAAGTGTCCAAAGGATAATGATTAGCTTATGGTAGAGTGATCATCAAAATATGTTTAAAAATACCTCCAAATGAATGAGACACTTCAGGAAGAGGCTTTAGGAAATAGTAGAATTCAGTAGTGGCAGTAGTAGGTATCAGCATTGTGGTTTGGGGTCATGAGCCTGGTCAATTGTTTCTGTTAACAATTCCGTCTGAAGCCATGGATTCTAAAGCGCCTTGTATAGCTTTTAGTGGGAGGAAGCTGGCGAAACCTGGACCGAGTGATGGGAGCTCCACTCACGTGGGCTCTGGTTCAAGTCAGGGCTTTGTTCCCAGGAAACCAAGGGGGGGATCTAGTTGTATTGACTGGATAAACATAACAGAGCTTAGAGAATGTCGAAGGCTGTATACATATGTAGTTGCCCAGGCTTTGCTCCAAATACTCTGGAAGGTAGACTATTTCTCGTCCCCACCTGCTGGTAGGATGAGACTCTTTATTTTCTTTCATTGTCAGGGTTGCTCCAACATTTGGTCAATCTGCAGGTCTTGACTTCTGTGACTACAGCTGTATGTGAAACAGTCTTACACTCAGTATTTCATCTGGTTCCATATTTGTAGGTCGTATTTAAGTTGTAAGTTTCCTGTAGAGCTACTATAATATAGGCATTCGTTAGAAGCCATATATATATGGCTTCTAACTCTTGGGATTCTCTCCCTCTGCCACTCTCAAGCAGGGAGAGTGGCAGAGGGAGAGAATCCCAAGCATACTCCCCGCTGAGCACAGAGCCTGATGCAGGGCTTGATCTTAGGACCCTGAGATCTTGACCTGAGCCGGAATCAAGAGTTGGACGCTTAACTGGCTGAGACACCCAGACGTCCGTGAAGGTAGTATTTTTGTTAGCTGTGTTATTTTGATGTTACAGTTGGTTTGAAGCTTTCCATGAATTCCATGATTGACTGGAGAAGGAAAGAACAATCTAGAAATTGTCTACATATATGTGAAAGACAGAAAAATTCCTGAGCCTGTGTGAGTGTTGTGAAGTAAGAGACCAAGGAAGGATGTTGAAGAATGCCTATTTTCAAGGACTAGAAAGAGTCAGTGAAAGATTGTGAGAAGCTGTTAGTTTGTGTGAACATTATCCTAGGTATATGCTGAATTCTTTATAAAATGCTAGAATTCTAGGGAGCTTTAGAACTACTGAATTTTAGAAGTAGGGGGAAAAAAATCACAGAACTGATTTTAGAACTAGAGAAAAGTAGTGTGACTCCTGCATTTCCCAGATGGGGAAACTGAAGCCCTTGAGGTTGTAATTTGCAGAGTGTTATGTTCCTTAGGGTTGCCGGATTTAGCAAATAAGGAGAAGTATGTTCCTTGCAGTATTTGCACAGACTTATACTAAAAAAATTTTTTGTTTACCTGAAATTCAAATTTGACTGGACATCATGTTTTTTATCTGGCAATTGTATGTAACACTTAGCCATTTTCTGAGTTTGTGACGTTTTTACAAGAGATACTGTATATAATTATATATAAAAAATTATATATTTAAGTTACATAGCTTCACAATGTATATATTATTCTGGACCTTGTTTTTTTTTCTTTCCCAATCATTATCTTAAAGATCTTTTCACATCAGCTTTTATGTATGTACTTTTTGCAGACTCTTTAATAGTCTGTTAAAACGTAGTTAGAAGCTGGTATTTCTCCTCGGTCTCCTGTTGATGGACTTTAGGTTGTTTCTAGTTTGTCGCGCTTACAATAATGCTGCAGTGAATAGTTTTGTAATGTGTATCTTTGCACACTGATTAAATATAGCTGTAAAATAAATTCCAAGCAGTGGGATTTTATTTATATATTTTGTTATATTAACCAATTTACTCTCTTACTGGTCAAATATTAGAATGACTTTTCTTTTCCTTGCCAACAGTATTATTGAACTTTTTAATCTTTGTTGTATATATACTTTAGAAACGGAGTCATTCCTTGATTTGCGTTTCTTTAAGTATGGGTGAAGTTTGGCATATTTTTATAGATGTTTGTTTATTTTTATTTTGTTTTTGCTAACTAGTCATGTTACTTGTTGAGTTCTCCGTGAGAGCTTTTTATAGTTTTCATGTAACAAATAGTGTTTTCACCACTGTTACAGTTGCATGTTCTTATTGTTTCACTTTTCTTTTTCATCCTTCCTTTCATCCATTCTTACTGTGATGAAATTTTTCGTTCTTTTCCTTTGTCCTCTTTATGCCCTGCAGTTATCTTAAGTAGGCAGAAAACATCCTCTAGAAGTGGTCCATGTGCTCAAGGTCTTTAAGCTTATTATTCTTAGAAATAAAATGTGTATAATTTTGTTTTGTTGGAAAATATATCAGCTCTGTATTTTGGATTTTGAAACCTAGAATAGTCTGCAATATGAACAAAAAACTAGTGTGATGTTCTTAATTTAGATTTTATAAAGTTGATATCAGGAACTAACCTGTTTTATATACTATTTTAGCCTTTGGATATCATTCTTGGCAGAGTTTGCTGTGGTAGCCTAGCAGGACAGGAGAAGGATGGCAGGTTCTGAAGGTTTTGAGTATAAGTCATGAGATTCTTGGACAGGGAGAAAATTTGAGAACAAGTGGCAAAAAACGAATAATTAAAGGGAGGAGATCTGCGAACACTGCCAGCAGGCAAAGAATAATTGCAGTATTCTGAAATGTTTCTGAAATGTCATTGGGGTGCAGCGTTTTTAATTACTTTTTCCTCAAAAGTTTTCAGCCAGAGTTGGATGTGTGCTATAAAGAGAGTATATTTTAATGGGAAAATAGGATTTGCTTTTCAGAAATTAATTACAAAGAGGACTTCTGAAATTTACCAGTAATCCTGAAAAATGAGAAATACTTGTACTTTTTTCTTTTTATAGGATAATTGCAGATGTCATAGCAATGTTTCTGTCAGAGTATTTGCTCATCATTGTAAATGCTTAGAGAAAGTAAGGAGGAGTCTATTACCTGCTGTTTGCTGCTAGGCAATGTCTTTGCTCTGGTATTAACAAGAAATAATGTGTTCTTTGTGTTCTTCATTCTTTGTGTGCCCAATGACCCATTTTAATGTCTTTATTTGAAACCTATTACTGTTTTATGAAGTGTGTTGAAGATATTAGTATCAGAGATGTTTGGAATTCTTGTATATCATCTAATTTATCCTCATCTACTGTTTATCTACTAATAAACAATTGAATTCCTGTTAGAAAATGCCCCCCTCCAAAAAAAAAAGATGTAGGAGTACAAATTTCATGACAGTGAAAGTTCCTGCTTTTAAAGGTCTCTTGGGATTCCAGTTACCTTCTTGAAACTTGTGAGCTTTGGTTGGAGTTCAGCATCCCTTCATTGTCCTCTTGATTGAATCTTTAAGCTTGCATACTGAGAGTGATGGGAAGAGTAAAGTTCTCAAAAAAGGGGAAGAGTCAAGTAAAATGACAAAGATATGCCTTTGCACAGAAATAATAGAGGTCTTTGGCAATTTAATCAAGAATATTATCATTGGAAAAGAGGATTTATTAGCCAGATTTCATAGACCAAGTTATGATTGTGGTTCATGAGATGGTAGAGATGGAAAGTGTATGTGGGAGATGCGGTTTAAGTGAAGGACCTCCTTTTTTTTCTTTTAAGGTGCAGACACTTGAATACATTTATATATTAATGGAAAAGAGTATTGATTTTAGAAGAGAGATGATAGATGGCATAACTGAGCAAGATCCCAAGGTTACTGTGGATGAATGTAGGAGCCCGTGTCCTCCTACAAGTGGAAGGATTAGCCTGGGGTGGAAATGGTAAAGAGGAAGGTGTGGCTGTAGAGTGTGAGTGACAGAAGAAAATTACAGAAATTCCTGACAATTTAGGTCAGTGTTTTTCAATATATCATCCCCATAATATTGGTGTTCTTTTTAGTCTGGATATGGACCCCAGTGATTTTAGTAGCTTCAGAAGGAAAAAAGTGATGAACAATTTAATTCATACACAGCTCATAAAATTGAAATGTCCTCTCATTTTTATGACTTACTGTTATTAGCTTATTTTATTTTTACCAAAAAATATTGATGAATTTTTGGCCCATGTGCATATCATATTTTCTTTAAGTAATCCTTGGAAACGATTTGAGAAATAAACTTTTACTCAGATTTGAAAAAAGTATCTGGTCTGATGTGACAAGGACTACAGGGACAAGGGGAGATTATTTTTGTACCAAGCAT